CAGGCCTTCAGCTCTTATTAGACACCTCATTGAGAGCATGCAAGCTTGCTGTGTGACTTGGAGCAAGTGTTTTCCTTTCCCTGAACCTCAGCATTTCGTATAGCAAATGACAGCTTTTGAAAAGAGTGCCCAGGGTCCTTAGGCTTTTCCAAGCTGATTGTGTCATTTCACTGCCTTCGCCTGTGGCCAGCTTGGGGTTGGGCAACTTTGTTTTGTTGAAATCAGTAGGGTTCCCCTTTGCTCTCTTCTGCTCTGAGAGTGACAACCTGAGGCTTTCAAAGCAGAACTAGGAAGTGCCAGCTCCAGCACTGTGGGTAGGGGACAAGGGGTCCTGTCTCTGAAGAGCCTCGTGGTTTGTTTCTTCCTCTTCCTGCTGGAGGGGGAGGTGGGAGGTGGTGTGCTCAGGCAGCACCTGGAACAGCTCCCGCTCCCAGGCTCCTTCTGCTCTTGATGCCTCACTCAATGTGGGAGGTAGGCAGGGTGGCACTTGAGGGCACACGATCCTAGAATGTGCTGCTCCAGGAAAGCAGCCCATTCTCCATTCATTCAGCAGACAGCGATTGGGTACTTCTGGGCCACAACAGCCAGTCCCTGCCCTCCTCATGGGACCTATGTGTTACTGTGGCCAGGAAACCATGGCAAGTAAGCAGACGAGCAAGAGCACGGGCTGGCGTGTGTTTCAGAAGATACACGTGGGCCGTGTGTCCCCAGCCCCCCAGAGCACATAGATCCCACGAGGAGGGCCTGGAGAGCACCCACACAGAAGGAAGAGCAAATGCCCGGAGCCCCAAGTTGGGAACAAGCTCAGCGTGACCTAGAAACTGAAAGCAGGCAAGTGGCTGGCAGACCCACAGCCTGGGCAAGCGGGACACCCTGGGGCAGGCTGGACCCACAGTGGCCTTCCTCTGTCCCTTCCTCCTCCCTGGCCAGCTTACCTCACACTTGCGCACACACCCAGCTTCCTTCCTGGGGGCCCTGATGGCACCTCAGAGTTACCAAGTGGGCCACTTCCCGCCTTCTCAGGACTCCCACCCCTACCAGAAAGAGAGCCGAGGTACTTACTGCCCCCTTCCAGAAAGCTCTGGCCTTGTAGACCAGTGTGCACCTGGAACAGCATCTTTCCCCACCTGATGGGACCTCGATGAGGCCGGAGAGCCTCACAGGGAGTGAGGGGAAGAGACTGGGACTGAGAGTCTGCGGGGTATTCACCTCTCTGGGCCTTAGTTTCCTCACCTGGATCACAAGGGCCATGGACTTGGGCTTGATGGGCGTTCAGGACGCATCCCAATGACGAGCCTGTGTGAGGGATGACCCAGCGGCCCCCGCCCCCGCTTTCCTCGGAACTTTTCTGGGCTGACTTCCCCATTGGTCTGATAAGATTCTTGCTGTGTCATGATGATGTTGGCACTTCCCCAAAGCCCCGGTGACTCATGAGCCCCTGGGTATAGGAGGGAGGCCCTTTTTTTGGTTTTTCAGCTGAACTAACTCAGCAGCCCCCAGGTTCTCTGGCCCCAGTGGCCAGGAACCAACTGGGCCCCTGCCAAGGCCCAGGGCTCCACCCGGGGAGTCTGGGCAGGTCCTTGAACCCAGTGACCCTTGGGGATGGGATGGCCCACCCTTGCTGGCCCTCCAGCAGGCATTGCACTCTACCATGAAACACTCATGCCAAGACAAGGGCTGCAGCGATTTGGGTTTATAAAACAGACAGGCCATGTCCCAGGTCCCTTTGCCCTGGCCTAGCCAGACGTCGGTAGCTGGAGATCTTCATCATGTCTTGCTTCTGCTAAGTCACCTTGTGTCCTTGGGCAGATCCCTCCCTTGCTGTGGTCCTCAGGAGAGAGGAGGGCATGGGGAAGAGGAGAAGCTCCCAGCTGCTTTTCACTAAGGACGCCTTGAATTGCCCCCACCCATGTGGTGCGAGTAGACCCCTGACCAAGCTGTCAGGTTTCCCGATGTTTTTTCGTGTTTGTTCCTCCAGAAAATCCCACTAGAGCGTCGCAGCCAGCTGGGAGGGCAGGGCTACCCCTGAGCCCTCAGGAGAGCAGCTCAGTCCGGCTCAGCTTAGCTTAGCTTAGCTCAGCTCCCCATAACCATGGGAGGGAGCGGCCTGCCTTCCCCCACCCCCGCTGTCCTCCGACTTACCTCACCTCGCCTCTCAGGTGACTTGGAGCCCAGCAGATAGTCGGTTGCAGGGGCTGAGCTGAAACAAGGTGAGCAGGTTCAATCTGCAGTTAATCCCAAAAGGAGCAGCAGAAACAAACAGCCTGGAGCGTGGGGCTGCTGTGACTCAGCACCTTTCTGCCACCAGCACCTTTCTGGAGTCTGTCCCGATGCCTCCCAATCTTCCGGAATTTGGTCATGAGCAAACATGACCTGCTTTGGGTGAGGCTTAGAGGTATTTGCAGGCTGTGGTTCTTACCCTTTATTTCAGGGTCCAGTTCCCAGCAAGCTGGTCCTTTCTGTGTGTGGGGCCAACCGTGAGTTGATGTGACATGGGCAGTGTTCCCCTCCCCAGCCCCGCTTATGGCAGGGTGCTGTGAGGAGCTGAGTGGAGGAGCTCCTACCCCAAGGTGAGGGGTCGTCTGCTGGACTTTGAAGGATGCAGCAGTGAGAGGTCCATGTGGCTGCAGTCCTGGCACTGAGCTCACCTGAAGAGGGTCGGAAGCGGAGCAGGGCCCCTGAAGAGCGCAAGCACACAAGGAACCCACACCATAGCAGTTTCCCTCCTGGAAGCCCTCTGGTGGCTTCCTAACCGCCTGGCTCTGGGCGGGTGCATTTGTCCTGGTGGCTTGGCCCCCATTCTGTAATGGTTTGCAGAAATGGACCCATCCATGGTTGCAGTGCCTGATCGCTTTGAAGGGCATGTCTTCTTTTTTCGTGAGATGGAGTCTTGCTGTCATCCAGGCTGGAGTTTGGTGGCGCGATCTGGGCTCACAGCAACCTCCGTCTCCCGGATTCAAGCAATGCCCTTGCCTCAGCCTCCCGAGTAGCTGGGATTCCAGGTGCCTGCCACTACGCCCGGCTAATTTTTGTTTGTTTGTTTGTTTGAGATGGAGTCTTGTTCTTTCACCAGGCTAGAGTGCAGTGGCGTGATCTTGGCTCACTGCAGTCTCCACCTCCGGGGTTCAAGCACTTCCCCTGCCTCAGCCTCCCGAGTACCTGGGACTACAGGCGCGCACCACCACACCTGGATAATTGTTTGTATTTTAGTAGAAATGGAGTTTCACCATGTTTGCCAGGCTGGTCTCGAACTCGTGACCTCAGGTGATCCACCCTCCTCCGCCTCCCAAAGTGCTGGGATTACAGACGTGAGCCACCACGCCCAGACTATTAGTTTTTACTGTGTTTTAATGAAATATATGTCATGGGCCGGGCATGGTGGCTCACGCCTGTAATCCCAACACTTTGGGCGGCCACAGCAGCTGGATCACAAGGTCAGGAGTTCGAGACCAGCCTGGCCAACATGGGGAAACCCCATCTCTAGTAAAAATGCAAAAATTAGCAGGGTATGGTGGCAGGTGCCTGGAGTCCCAGCTACTCAGGAGGCTGAGACAGGAGAATCACTTGAACCCAGGAGGTGGAGATTTCAGCGAGCCGAGATGGCACCACCGCACTCCAGCCTGGCCAGCAGAGTGAGACTCCATCTCAAAAAAAAAGAAAAGAAAATATCTGTCATGAAGAACACGAATGGTGCAGGTCTAGTTTGTTGATGACTTTTCACAAACTCAGCACAGCCACAGAAACTGCTCCTAGATCAAGAAACAGAATATGCTCTGCACCCAGGAAGCCCCCTCACCTGGGGCCCTCACAGTCACTGGCCCCCAAAGGGTGATTTCTGACCCACTGCCCACCCTCCGCTTCATTGTTGGTTTTCTCGCCCTCTTTTGTTGGTGCGCAAATCTTAACTGTACAATTGGCTCTACACCCTCATCACAATAAAGGCCATTGTCATCTCCCCAGAAAGTTCCTGGGTACCCATTCCCAACCAGTCTGCCCCTGCTCCAGGCAACTGCTGATCCGATTTCTGTCACAATGGATTGGTTTTGCCTATTCCAGAACTCCATGTGAGGGAGCTCACAGAGGATTGCATCTCTGATGCTGTGATTTCCCAGTGTTGCTGAGTAGTATCCATTGTATGAATGCACAGTTTGCTGGGTCACGTGTTAATTCAAATGTTTGACATGTTTCCAGTTCGGGGCCGCTATGAACTAAGGCTGCTGTGACCATTCGCGTGCAGGTCTTTGTGTAGACTTGCGCTTTCATTTCTCTTGGGTACTACCTAGAGTGGAACGGCCAGGTCACATGCTAGGTGTGTGTTTCACTTGATCAGAGGCTTGCAGACTGTCGGGGAGCACCCGCACCACCTCACAGTTCAACCTTAGCTGTTTTCATTTTCTTGCCTTACTGCACTTTTCTTGTTCCTGATTGCTTAAAGGAATTATTAATATTTCAACATTTCCCATAAGTGTGATGCTTGTAGTATTTGTAAGGATGATGGTTTTGGGCGTTTTTATTGTTTGTTTTTTTGTTTGTTTGTTTGCTTTTTGAAACGAAGTCTAACTTTGTTGCCCAGGCTACAGTGGTGCGATGTTGGCTCACTCCAACCTCTGCGTCCTGGGTTCAAGCGATTCTCCTGCCTCAGCCTCCTGAATAGCTGGGATTACAGGCGTACATCACCACGCCCAGCTAAGTTTTGTATTTTTAGTAGAAATGGGGTTCCACCACGTTGGTCAGGCTGATCTCAAACTCCTGACCTCAAGCAATGCCCTGCCTTGGCCTCCCAAAGTGCTGCGATTACAGGCGTGAGCCACCACGCCCAGCCATAATGGTATTTTATAGATGCCCTTTATCAAGTTAATGAAGTTCCCTTGTATTCCTCCTCTGATAAGAGTTTTATCATGAATAGGTAATTTCTGAAACACTTTATCTACATTTGTTGGGTTAAGCAAGATTGCTAGATTTAAACAATCAAAATAGCAGTAGGCAGAGAGTTCTTAGAGGTTTTTTTTTTAATCTTCTAATACAGTGAATTTCAATGATTGATTTTTTTCCTATGTTAATATCAAACCAACTTTTTATTTACAGAATAAACCCAACTTGGTTGTGATGTGTTACCATTTTTAACATTGCAGGATTTGGTTTGCTGATGTTTTCTTTCTTTTTTTTAAAGAGACAGGGTTAGTGGGGCACAGTGGCTCATGCCTGTAATCCCAACACTTTGGGAGGCTGAGGCGGGCAGATCACTTGAGCCCAAGAGTTCAAGACCAGCCTGGGCAACATGGGGAAACCCTGTCTCTACAAAAAATGCAAAAAATTACCTGGGTGTTTTGGCATGTACCTTTCAGTCCCAGCTATTCTAGAGGCTGAGTTGGGAGGATTGCTTGAGCCCAGGAGACAGAGGTTGCAGTGAACTGAGATTGTGCCACTGCACTCCAGCCTAGATGACAGAGTAAGACCATGTCTTAAAAAAAAAGGGGGGGTCAAAAAAGAAAAACTCCTGGGTTCAAGCAATCCTCCCACCTTGGTATCCCAAAGTGCTGGGGTGTGTGAGCTGTGCCCAGCCTGCTGATATTTCATGTGGGATTTCTGCATCTGCATGTGTGTGTGAATGAGGCGTGTGGGTTTTCCCATGTGCCTTTCTCATCAGGTTTCCATACCAAAGCTCTGTAGGCCCCATAAGGTGGCTTGGGAAGTGTTCCCCTTTCTTCCTTCTGCAGGAAGAGTTTGCTTCAGGCTGGAATTCTCTTGTGCTTGCATTTTGGTAGAACCCACTGGCAACACTCTATGCGAGGGGGTGGTTTATGTAGGAAGATTTGTGGTCATTGTCCCCTCTCAGGTCCATTGCTCTGTTTTTTGTTTGTTTGAGATGGAGTTTCGTTCTTGTAGCCCAGGCTGGAGTGCAATGGCTTGATCTTGTCTCACCGCAACCTCCATCTCCCAGGTTCAAGCAATTCTCCTGCCTCAGCCTCCTGGGTAGCTGGGATTACAGGCATGGGCCACCATGCCCAGCCAATTTTGTATTTTTAGTAGAGACAGGGTTTCTCCATGTTAGTCAGGCTGGTCTCGAACTCCTGACCCCAAGTGATCCGTCCGCCTCGGCCTTCCAAAGTGCTGGGACTATAGGCGTGAGCCACCGTGCCTGGCTGTTTGGTTGTTTTCTTGTTTTTTGTTTTTTGTTTTTCGAGACGGAGTTTCACTCTTGTTGCCCAGGCTGAGGTGCAGTAGTGCAATCTTGGCTCACTGCAACCTCCACCTCCCGGGTTCAAGTGAT